ATTGTACAGTGGCATTAAGTACCGTAATGTGCACCTCTGCCTACCCCTTCGGGGATAAAAAGGCGTGATGTTATGTTATGTTATGCTACATGTAGAATAGAAAACCAAATTATATGGAGTTGACGTAAATTTTGACACTTGTCAGTGTCATCCCCATACATTTAGTTTTCTACTCTCTCTGTAGATAAGCGATAAATGGCGTTTGGCAAGGCACTGAGCCTCTACAGCTGCTGACTACTATAGACTTACATTGACACGAAGTACATCTGTCGCGTGACATGGCCCGTCATTACACTTCATTATTATATGCATTACGCTGTTGCAAGTACCCGCAGACATACACCACTTACATGTTGGTGTCAATCACTTGTAATTGACATTATATTTGGCCCGTCTTTGTTTACGTCCTTGACTTGTAAAGGTGACAATTTTGAGTCTCAGTATATTTTATACTAAACAAATTGATAAATTGAAGATATTTATCGATATTAAACAATAACATATAGATAGTATTAGTACCTGCTGATATTCGTGTGTATTTTTATAATACTTTTTTATATAAAAACTTATATAAATAAGAATTTGTATTTAGCAATGTGATTTTATAGTATCTTTGAACCATTTCAAAGTTATAATCAAAGCAATTATTACAATTAATATCTTAATCATAATTAAATTGTCCGTCAGTCTGTCTATCAATGAAGCTAGGTACTCGATCCAAAGTGTAGTTTCGAATGGAGAAGAACGAGAAAAAAACTCCATTCCTACTCCTTTAACAAAATGTTTTGTTATATATCAAAAACGTAATTAAATACTCAAATCAAACTCAAAATCGAGTACCTATATCTGAAACTAAATAAATACATGACTTACATACTTATATAAGCTTTTTTGAATATTCTCGACCAGTTTCTAGCTACACGGGGACTCACAATCATGACCTGCATGCGACATCACACTACCAAATAACACAGTTCTACGAGCCCCAGTAAGAGTCAGTCCAATGAATCATAATTACAGACAAAAAAAAATACAATAACATGTCAACTGACGTATTATTGCATAACTATGAGCCCCACTATGGTTTGAAACTGATCGAGCATAAACAAACACCTTACGTGTGTACTTTGTATATTTAAAATAAATATTACAAAACATACTATAACATTACATTGCTTTAAAAGCTCGCAAAGTACAAGAAGATAATTAAATATTATAATATCTAATATCAGACTTCAAAATCAAAGCATTTATTACTTTTGAAACGTCAACAAATACAAAATAAATAATAAGCCTGTCAATCTGTCCGTCAGTGAAGCTACCAGCTCCACCAAATCTACGTAGACGCCTTAATCGGCTAAAGTCATATTGTGTCTTTCTAGTTACGAAATTCTCATTAATAGCTCTTATGTCGCGAGGAGTATGAAACTGCCCAATATGACAGTAGACTCACCCCCTGTTACATGGGATTCATAACATAAATAGTGAAAAGTAGGTGTTATATTGTACATTGCATTGTTACATCTTTATGCATTACCCTTTAAAGTAATATAAATTGGCGTTCCGTAGTCTCTGCCTACCCCCGTAGGAGACAGGCGTGAGATTATGTATGTATGTATGTATGTATTGATATAGTTATATTTAATTTCCTTCTTGTACTTTACGTTCATAAATAAACTTAAAAATAAGATTATGCAACCAAATGCCATTTTTTAAGCTTTTTCGATTGACAGTTATATTATCTTATAATTATGATACATAACCATTTCAAATAATGTAATGTTATCTTCATATTTAATTTACAGTATGTTCAAAATATCTAGACCTTTCTAAAGATTACATAAATGTACTGCATATCCACTTGAATGTATAAACAAAAATTCATTCAAATTAGTTCAGTTGTTTAGGATAAATAACCTAAACATTGACTGCAGCGCCATCTGCCGGACTGATTTGTGAATCTAAACCATTCCCAGATCCCCTTGAACACACACAAAAATTTCATCAAAATCGGTCCAGTCGTTTGAGAGAAGTTCAGTGACATACACACTCACAGAAGAATTATATATATATAAAGAGATAATAAACAAGATATATTATGAACATACTGTAAAATTCTGCTTGAATAGATTAGACAGCTTTCTAGTTTTATATATTTTTGCCTCTATAACTTAATCACAAAGCATAACTCACTCTGAGTCTATTTTGTAGTACTTTTAGCTAAACTGAATCAAAATTATAGACTACAAATATGTATAGGGCTCAGACTCTAAAAGCAGGAGTAGGAACGGGTCGATTTTTAGTAACGTCGGGTAACGATCGTGAGTCATGCTGAATTAACTAAAAATTCGACTGCACGTATGGCGCGTAGGCTGGGCAACCGGATGCCGCGGAACTTGCAGCGGTCTCGATTCCCGCACGGAGCAACTCTTTGTGTGTTCCACAAATTATTGTTTCGGGTCTGGATATCATGTGCATCTGAACTTGTATATTTGTAAACGCACCTACGATACTTGAGAAAATCCTAGTGTGGTCCAACGATAAAAAATTATCGAGTTACTCACGTGAATATACTACGAAAACCTTTACTAGTTTCGAGTCACAAAATGACTCTTCCATATGAGCAGCGTACGCGGTCGCGACGATGTCGCGCAGCCTACTCTACATCCTACATCGAGTCGTGCCTCTGTAACTCGAAACTAGTGAAGCTTTATTGGTTGATTCACTGAAGAATCAGACCGCCGAACGCGCTTAATTCTATTACGTTACGTATGCGATAGTTATTCTGTTTTTAATTTCGTATCGGAGACTAGCCCATTCACTCAATCAAGCGATCTCTTCAACTTCATAAACTAAGTTCAGATTCAGTAGATAAGTCAACTGTACTACAAAATAGGCTAACTTTCTATTTTTATACTTATTTTTAAAGGTTTTCTGTATAAATCGGTTTTACATTTTTATATATTTTAAGGGCAAATTCTAAATTGATATTATTATCTATGTATTATTAATATTAAGATGGACTAACGTAGAATTAGGTATAAGTGTAGATTTTTTTGTTTGTTTATGTAATTTAGATCTGAAATTTACATTCCGTGGGCTTTCGATTTTATATGAATTGGATACAAGTTTTCAGTCTCATTGGCCGAGAGCGACCAAGTTCGAATCTGTGACCTGTATATGACAATTACATATATCATAACTGGAAACA